AAAAATTCCCCCCCCCCCCCCCCCGCGGTGACGCAATCTCCCCTGACGTCATACCCCCTGTGACGTCATACCCCTCCGGTGACGTCATACCCCCGCTCGCGGCACCCCCCCGCCCCTCACACCCTCTCGGAGGACCATGGGTTAGAACCCCTATAGTATACCTATTTATACTGTTTTCAGACTATTTCATTACTTTCATATATATTCCCATAGAGTATTCATATTCTATGGGAGTATTCCCATTGACTACGGTACGATTGGACATAACCAATCGATGATAAGAATTATCTTGTGAATTACTAGGTCAAACCAATCATTACAATCTATGTCCAATCGTATCGTGGTCAATCGAAATTCACTCACATTTTATTCGTATTGATTATTACTCGTTTTTAAATATGTTATTTCAGATACGTTTCAGAAAGGACTCGCAAAATTAAAAAAATCCGAAATCTTCACTAACATTAATATAGATATCGATGAAATAACTGGGAGAAAGAAGAGAAAAAGAATCCAAAAAGGAATTATTTCTTCTAGTGACGAAAATTGCGACGATGATATAGAAATGGAAAAATTTCCTTCGCCTCCAAAACAGGTTAATAATAAATCTAACACCACTGTGTCTACACATTTTTCATCACTAAGGAGTCATCAATCTTCTTCAAAACCTCAATGCCATGAAGTAATAAAAAAGTACGGAGGTAATAAAAATCAGTCTTCCCATGATTCATTGTCTCAGTCTCCGCTAAAGTTTATTCAGCAAAGTAGACAAAATCAGTTATCCAATACAGTTTCTGAACTTTTTTTCACGAATACCTCCTAATTGCTCCTATGAAGAACAACGGCATTCACCGTATCGTATATCAAATACCTATTCACACACTTCTTCTATGAATATGCAAAGTTCATCCACTTGCGGAAATAATAATATATATTGGCATGATCATTCACCGAAAAGAAATGTTTCTTATAAAAAATTACATAATGGTAATTAATAACAAATTTATTATATACAGAAATTGAGGAAACACGAAAGAATAAATCCATACAAATGATTTCAATTTCTAGTATTTTATTCTTTGCTTTTTATTTTCAAAAACTATATCTAGTTTATTTGCCTTTTTTTAGGTGAAAGTATTACACAATTAAAAATACTGATAGCAAAATCAAACAATTTTATAAACAGATGCTTCGCTGAAACAAAAATAGATATTCATAAAATATTAGAAAACCAAGAAAATATTTTAGTTCGACTCTCTGCGCTGGAAGGCCATAATTTTGCATCTGTTATACATAATAACTGTTTCATCTTTTCCTTTAAAAAATGAAGATGATCTACAAAATTTAGAAGATAATCTTCTTCTACAAGATTTTCGATCTGCTTTGGTAAGTTAAAATTATAAAAAAACCCAACTTTTAATAATAATTAAAATTGCTTTGTCCTATCCTTTTCTGCGTTCAGAAAGGCACTATTTAACGCTATGAACATTTTGTTCTTATTGTCTGCTGAAAATTGAATAAGGACGGAGCACACTCATAGCGCTAAATAGCATTTTCCCGAGCGCAGCCCCAATAAAAGCCATAATGGCAAAACACGAGCTAAATGCGGGTTCAGATGAAATTTGTAACTTATTTATTGGCAGACTACTAACAGATTGTTCATGGGATCGTTATTTATATTTATTACAGATAAAATTAATGTAAAAAACGTAGCTTTTAATCATTAAATATCAATTTATAATATTAAATTTTTCCAATACTTTTGTATAACATTATAATAATTAGAAATTATCATTTTTGTATTTTTAAATGCAGATAGAGCAGTTGAGAAAAATAGGAGGCCGTAATGTCAAGGACACCGTTTATAATTTGATGAAAGAAGTATTTACTAATGATTTAGCAGCACGATTTTCATGGCTTGGTCTTAAAAAGAAAAAAGAAGTTATGTATTCTTCGTCTGTCAAACATTCTTATAAAAGTCGTCCATTTGAACCACACCACCACGAAAAAAGATATAATAGAGCATATAAAGGCATGGGTGAGACATGCACCTATGAGATGTGTTAGAGAGTAAGTCCATTAATTTCTTATTTTTATTACAAGTTGTCTTCTATTTTTCTATCCCTAGTTTTTTTATCTATGACTAAGTTTACACGACAACTTAAAACCGGTTTAATTACTACCGTAGTTAGTAAACTCTTGAATCCGATTGGAGTATATTTCTAAATCTAAAAGAATATACCAATCGGATGCAAGAGTTTATTAAATATGGTTGTTACTAAACCGGTTTTAAACTGCCGTGTAAACTTAGGCTATGATTTCTTATGCATTTTTTTCAAGAGAATTATGTTGCAAAATCTTTCCACGATTACCAGTTTTTTATTAATGCCAATATTTCTTTCAGGATTAATAGAAACACAGCCACACGAGAAGATACTATAGAGACAACTAATGACAGTTAAGTACATTAATATATACTTAAACATTAATGAGTATAATTTTTTTATATCTATTCGCTATTGATTTCTTTTTTATTAACTTTTTCGATATTTTTCATTGGCACTATTTTTCATTCTTATACACACACATTCTACACATACAGACACAAAAATACTCACATATATTGCTAAACCTTACTTGTTTTTTATAAATCCAAATATTATAAACGTATTATTTAATGTTCCTTAAATTTTAATGTTTTTATAGTGCATTATTACTTTTATGTTGGTTATTCATGTTGCTCAAGAATTTGTTTGACGTTAATGCACACAATATTATAATATATCAACGTTAATATATGTATAAAACCAATATTATTAGAATTATGTTATATTTATATTTGCATTCTTTTATATTTAATTTTATATATATAGTTTTCAGTTTTATAAAAACTCTTTAAATGTGATATTTTTACTTTAAACAATTATATGTTCTGTTACATATGAATTTTTTGTTATATAACTGAGTACATATGTATGTATATACATTAATAGTAATAACAAAATATAAGAAATCTATTTAAAAACATACTATATTTATTTCCTCTTTATAACAACTCATAGATATATAATAAAAACCGTTGTTTTTTTATTTGTAAAAAGAATGAATGATATTTCTGTAAAATCAATCTTAAAGTATAACTTTTTTTACAAAAAGTGTATGATATTCTGTTTAATAATTATGAATTTTGCATATGTATCTATTTTTCATGATTTAAATTTTGATTATTCTTTTCATATATCGCAGACTACACAAATTCTCCAAGGTATACTCTAGAGACGTGGGAACGTCTTCAGGATGCATTAAGGGAGACTGTAACCTTTAACTTATGCTACAAGCTGTAAGAAATTGACCAATCGTAGTCGACTATTACTAGAATATTTAACTGCCATTTATCAATTTTTTTTACAGCTTCCCTTACAGAAAAGTATCACTAGTCAATAATAAATTGGCAGTGATTTTATCACTAGTTGCTATAATAACTAGTAATAGAATTATTAAAAATCACTGCCACTTTATTATTGACTAGTGATACTTTTCTGTAAGGGTTATAGCATAGTTAAAAGTTATGGTCCTTATAAATTGGCCTTCAGGATGTTTTTTGGAGGCATGTGCTATCTAAAATTGAAAACAAATTTTTACAAATAAATAAAAGCAGAAATGATAGATATCTGTGACATTTATAAAATATCTCTGTGACGTAAAAAACATGTTGCATGGATATCTCTATCACATCGCATTATTTGTTATGTTACATGGATATTACTTAAGTACATCACAGAGATATTATTTTTATTGTGATGTGATAAAAGGCGGACATTGCGATATCTCCGTGATATTGACAAAATATCACTTTGCCATTTCAAGATATCCCTGGGATCTAGGATATCCCTAATAAAATGTAACTGTGATATCACAGTGCTGTGCTATATGGGAAGCAACATTAAACAATGTAAATATAATATAGTGTAATACTGTAAATTAACCTCTTAATGTAATTAAGATACAAATTAACTTTTATACAAATTAACTTTTTGATATAACATGCAGGCAGATTGTCACTCGCAGCTTTATTTGTGTCAGCAAAGATTCTCACATCTCAGAAACTAGTGGTGTATTCTAAAATGCATTACAAAAATTGTGACAACTTTAATTGATCGACTATACGCACTGTAATTGTAAATGTTGTTAGACTGATTCTTTTGGAACAAAAAAGTTAATCGAAAGAATAAATTGATACAACAACATCTACAATTACAATACGCACATATATAAATTGCCTATTTTATGAGAATATTAGTTACTTCTCTGATATTTATTCATTCTTTATATTGATATTTGTTTATTCCTTACATTTGTACATTACTTCTTTCCATTTTTATCTCGCTTGCTTCTTTCACCTTGCAGGTTTCATTTTTTAGTTGACGATGATGATAAATTGATTATAATGTGAAAAACGAAACAGTGAATAACATTTATGTAGCCCAGACAGCATAGAACATCCATAGGACATCCATTTCATGTCAGTTTTACGTCCATATATCCAGGGATATGAAATGGACGTCCACAGAACATCCGATTTTGAACATGAAATGGATATCCTCATCAGTATATCTTATAAACTTTTGATGTATGTCCAAGATGAAACAAAATTCAGAATATGTTAAAGAACGGTTTTATATATGTTTGTGACGATGCCTTACACGCATCGTCCCTAAGAACAGCCAACACAACATCCGTTGGCTGTAAACGGCGCTAAGCGCCAAACAAATAACACAAACATAAACATGCGCCACGCCTAAAGACACGTAACGTCAACAAACAACATCAAATGTAACGAGACGGTATATAAACCGTGGCCGAGAAATAAGCGGAGAGACCGATCCGGACCGCCGACCGAACTCGATGCTTCAGAGCGGAGAGCAAGGTATCCGACCGTATCGTTTCTACCTGCCCGTCACCTTCCGAAACCCCATCGACGAAATCGACACCTGGAGATTGTGTGTTCGCTATCTCCATCAAGCGCTCTTGATACCGACTTCGCCGTCCTCTCAGGATCCAACGACCGGCCTACGAGTTCGTGTGTTCGCGAACCCGATCGAGTCCTCTCGGTACCGATCGTATCCTAACTCCACGAGCAAGCATCCGAGCCAGTGTGTTCGCTGCGCCCGATCGAACGTTGTCGACACTTGCTTTATTAAATACGGCGATACGCGAGTCGCCCGATATATCGCGGAACGTGCTGCGACACGTCAAGATCCCGTGTACCGCCGGAACCCCGCCGCTAAACGTCAGTTCGCCTTACGATTCGCGGATTTCACGCGCCGTGTCTCTTGCGAAGTACCAGCTTCGCGCTATTCGCTCCGCCTACCGAACCGCGAGACTCGACCAAGCAAAACCGAGACCCGATCACTGCTGCCGTCTCACGCCGAAACACGCGTAGCTCACGCCGTTGCTCTGTATACTAAAGATCAAATAAATTGTTATTTGTTATTATTTGCTGGTGTCAATCATATATCGATCCTTGACTCCGACGAGCGATATTCCCGGCGATACGACCAACAACCAGCGCGAGACGTACGGTTGTTACATGTTTTAACGGTTTATTCAGACAGCACACAATATTTATGATAAAGATTCATAAATATTTAATTTAAATTATTAAAAAAAAATATTATATAAGTATTTTATAAATATTTATATACATAAAGAAAAAAGTATCAAAATCTTTATTAAACATATTATTAAAATAAAGGCTAAATATTTTATACAATATTTGTAGTAAATAAAAAATAAATATTCGTAGTAATATTTTCTAAAAATAAATATAAATATTTGTAGTAAATATTTCTATAAATATTACACATGAAAAAAACAAATATAATTATTCATAATTATTAAATTAATGAAGAAATAAGAAAATCAAAATTTAAATTAATAATGTATACTGAAGAAAATTCTTTAAATCAAATAAATATGTTTTGTTAAATATAATTTCTTAACTTAAAAAAATCTTTGTTACACTTTAAAAAACATAATAAACAAAAAGTAATATTTTTTTTAAATTTGTAAAATAAGCTGTAAAATTATGAATTTCTAGAAAAAAATGATCTTCATAAAAGAATAAAATTTTTAAATGTAAAAATTGTTTAAATAACTATTTGCTTGTTTTAAAGTAAATAAAGTATAAGTAAATCATTTTATAATTTTAAATAAATTATTTTTTGATATTAAAAATATTTTTTGGGTTTCAAATTAAAGTTTCTTTTATTATCAGTAAACAATTTATTTAAATTTACAAAATGATTTATTTATATATTTATATTTATTTATATATATTTATATTTACTTTTAAAACAAGTAAATATTTTTTAAATATACTTTTTAAATACGTTTTAAACACATACATTTTACATTTAAAAGGATCTATTTTCCTCTTATAAATGAATACTTTATTTTCGTACATGGATACAATATATCCCAGATAGCAAGGTGACGTCTAAAGACGTCATTAAGATGTCATTAAGACATCATAGACGTCTTAATGACGTCTCAATAATGTCTTTTGTTACCTGGGATGTATACAATACAAAGCATCTCTCAATCAAAGTGACAGTGGCACTGTAGGTAAAGTAAACGACTCAAGAACCAAAGGTCTCAAGTTCGAATTTCGGCAATGGTAAGCAAGTTTTCGAAGCACAATTTAACTTGAATTAAATAGCGTGTGAAACAATATAAAATGAAAATTAAAAACATATATTTTAAAAATTTAAGAAAAGTTTAGGAAAAGAGAAAAAGTATATAATTGTATATTTTAATATACATTTGTTGTACATTTTAATATATGTACATAATTGTATATTTGTATATTTTAATAAATATTTTTATAATATTTATGATATATAATTTATAATATTTATGAAATATTTTTATAATATTTATGATAAATATTTATGATCTATTGAAGCTAAGGTCATAAAAATATTTGTGAAATATTCTGATAAATATTTATAAAATATTCAAATAAATTTTATAAATATTTTGTAAATATTTCATAAATATTTCGTGCTATTTGAGTATATATGTTTCATCCTTTTAATTTACAAGTTACAAAATTATCTTGTAAATTACAAATCCGAATGCTACTTTTATATGTCCATTGAACGTCTATCGGATATCCTGTGGACATGTCGAGGACTTTAGCATGTCCTCCAATTTCATAAAAGGATATCCCACAAACGTGCATTGAATGTCCGAAGGACGTAAAACGGATGGCTTATGGATATCCTCAATAGCCTCAAAGGACATCTTAAGGATATCCATAGGATATAAAACTAAATTACATAATATCATTAAAAAAAATATTATTTAATTACATAATATTGTTTACATAATAATAAACATATATACGGGGTAATTCACTTGTGATATGGTCGATTATCTCGCGAATCGATGATTTTATTGAAAAATTTTTCCAACAAAAGTTGCATGGCTTGAAGGGGGACATATGATGAAAATGTGGACTTGACCTTGAATGACCTTGTCAAAATCAGGTCAAGGTCATTAATGTTTTTTTTTCAACAGAGACCCCTATTTTTTATTATATATTCTTGTAGCTTATCGAGAGAACTTTCCAAAATACTATAATAAAGTTTCATTGAGTACTTTCCGAGTTATGGAGCTTGGAAGTTACAGTACTACCGCACAGTGAATCGAACTGTGTAAAAATGTGGACATTAACTCAAAAAAATTTTTTTTCGAATTAAGTTTCACATTGCAAATTTGTTTACTTGGTACATCATAAAAATAACATATAATCCTCATTTTCCAAAATATTG